AGCATCAGCAGTCTAGGTTTGGAGATAAACCAAGGCACACAGCTTCATCATGCTTCAGAGCTTCCATGGGGAACTTGAAGAGGCCTCCATGATTTCATTTTCCTTTAGTTTAAAACTTTGGATATTTGTTTTATAGGGGGAATAGCTATGTTTATAGCAGGACTTCCTACGTCATCTCCCAGTATGTTTGTCAGAGACGTACATGGTGGCTTACTCTCAGGACAATAGGCCACTGACTTGTACAAGAGGGAAACGCCTCCTTTTCTTGTTAAGTTTCGAAAGGTAATTCTAAGGACGTAAAATGTTTACACTTACTGGTCAATGGTCTCCACCATCCCTGCTCTTTTGAATATTGTTTCTCTAGCCCACGTCTTCAAATTGTTTTCTAGGTATTTCAGCTTGTATCTACCACTGTGAATTGAAACTCATCATGTGATTCCCATGACCCCTTTCTCGTTACCCTACTCTATAAGCTCAAGCCTTACACTTATAAGTTTCTGCTCAACACATTCCTCCTTGCAGCGATAGCCAATGGCTCCCAGGTAACTTCAACATTTCCTAAGAGTGATGTATGTTCTACTCTGTTTTCTTCCTTCCTCCTCATCTCCTCTGCAATCCTTCCCATTTTCAGTACTGGCAATATACCAAGACAACACAATTTCTAAAAGTTTTGGTACCCACTCCCTCTGTCCTAAACAATTGGCCACCTGGTTCCATCAATTTACCTACATGATGCTTGCATCCAACCTCTCCTTACCATCCTGAGCATCTGTGGCTTGGCTGAAGTCTTCATCATCTTTCAGTTGGGCTCTGACACAGTGTGATGTCAAGATTCACCTTATTATAATTCATTCTGTACATGTTGGTATATCAGTCTTCCTAAATCATAGCTCACATCACTCTCATGCTCAAAAGCCTTCGTTGGTAGCCCTTCTCCAGCAAGCCTTCTGCAATACTGCCTAACTTGCTATCCCAAATCTGTCTTCCTCTTTTATTTCCTGTCCTATGTCCAAACTAAGGAGCCCTGGTGGCGCTGTAAGTAAGCATTGAACTACTATTTGCAAGATCATCAGATCAAACTCACTAGCTACCCCATTGCGGAAATATGAGGCTGTCTGCTCCTAAAAATATTTACAGTCTTGGAATTGGAATCAACTCAATGGCAGAGAGGGTTTGGGCCAAATTAGATGATTCAGTACTTCAAATACAGCTAGCTAACCCATATGTCTTTGCTCGTTTTCCCTCTTCCTAGAATGATCATTCTCCTTTATCTACTTGGCAAAATTCTTATGTATCTAATTGACTGTGGCAATGATTGTACAACTCTTCTAGATATGAGTGAACTACCGAATGTATCATATGTGGATTATGTCCCAACAAAATGGTTTACAAAAATCCAATTTATCATTTCAGCCTTTTCCAGGTAAACTTTCCTTGACTACATCTTTTCCTGTTTTAAAAATTATTAGTTGCAGGGACCCACATGGCTTAAGTCTCTGGTGAATCCCCTCTGACCATAGTTGAGGGATGTGCATATCTTGCTTTCATACAGAGAGCATTGTAAGCCAATTATGGCAAATCTAGTTAGAATAAGATGTATTATTCTTATCATTTGATATCCATTTTGACCCATTTTAACCTCTCAGTTTTTCATATTTTCTGTTTTCTCTTTCACTGAGGTTTTTCTGTTTTGCCTAGCCATCGTTGGTTTTGTTTCTGTGCTTTGTATGATTTTCTCTTCTTTTTTATGATGCTCTGTATTTCTGAAATACAGGGTAGGTGAGTTATACAGATAGTAAGTGGATAATGGCATGGCAGGGGAAGATGGGGGAGTGGGGAGCTAGCAATAAGGAGCATGAGAAGAAAATGTTCTGAAATGGATTGTGGCAATGATTGCACAAATCTTCTTAATATGATTAAAGTATATGATATGTGAAGTATATGCCAATCACACTACATCAAAAAACCTTTAGGACTTTGCACGTTATGAGACTATACATTCTATGTTTGATAGGTAGCTGGAGAGATAGTCAGGGACCACATCTTACGGATCCTTGCCTCCACCACAGAGCCTTTACGCAGAGCTTAGTACACAAAAAGGTTTAATGAATGCTCATGGAATTGGCTTGCTCTCTCTGCCTCCATTTCTCAAACAATTAAAGAATCATTTCATAAGAATGGTACTATATTTTTGTATACCATTATGGGTTAAAAACTCCATTATCTCCATTATTTCAATGGATTAGAAGGCAGGAAGGCTAGGTCTTATCCCAATTTTGCATGCTAGAAAACCGAGGTTTACATAGGTGAAATAATTTTCCTTAAACTGCAAGCAAGTAAGAAATGTAGCCATATGTTAACCCAGAGCCGAATCCAGGCACATGCTAAAAGACCAAAGAAGGGAGAAAGCACTCTAGCCCCTAAAGGATCCCACCCTCTACTTAGTTTAGTGAGCGCGCTGGAGACCTGCGGAGGTCAGAGGCACCTCCTTTGGAGCTGAGCAAGACACTGTGCTGGTTACAGGATCACCTCAGTTTGGGTCTATTTTTCTTCCTTTCAGCCTCAGCGACAGACCTCTTCATATGAGCACCAGGAACCTGGACTGTCCCTTCCTTCCAAAAGTAAGTCAGAATCCTGTACCTCTTTTCAGTTCCAACAATAGATGCTGGCTGCTCTCACCTCTTCAGGCCAATTTGAGGAACTGCACCAGGAACCATTCGTCTGATCGGAGACTCTCCTGCATTTCCCACCCTCACAACTGAGTTCTCCTTGACCTATTGATTCATTCATGCAAACCCTCATGGACCCAGTTGCAAAGGTTTCCTTTGAAGGTCAGAGCTAGCGCTACCCTGCATTTCACTTCTCTGACTTTTTCTAGTTCTTCAATTCATACAGAAGAACATGCTAAAGCATTAATAGACTGGTGAATTTCCTTTTCCAGGAAAATATATAATTTGTTGTGTGTATAATATCAGTAGGTTTTGACAGGAAATGGGAAGGCTTTTCAAAAGAATGTTGCAATCTGAAATAGTCTTTGGGTAGAAAGAGTCTATTCTAAGCAGACATCATTCAGGACTGGTGGCAGGGGGAGGGGTAACCTTCAGTTTCTTATTCCCTTATTTCTTCAATACTAGTTCAAGGAAACTGCTAGTTTTGTGCTTCATCTTCCCAATGGAATTAGTGACAGTTGTGTTGCTTAGGTTCTTTGCAGCTCGCTAGTGTTCAGTTCGGGTACTCGGATCGGGTGTTGCCAATGTTTATGATCAAGGTTTTAGATGAATGAAGGTGGCAGAGGGAAGCCTTGAGTTTTGGTTACCTTTGGGATTGTTAGATATTTGAGTTGGAAAGCTCTAACAATGTATAAATGCAAACATGTGATTTGTCCCAGAAATTAATGCCCCCACCCCTCCTTTTCCACCCTTAGCTGTTTTCTCCTAAACAGAGTTTGGTAGAACTGCAGGGAGACTTCTGGGTACTGACTGTCAGGAAGCCTCATGGGCTGGTCTAATTGGCTATTCCTTGTCCAGTCCTGCAGGCTGAATTAGCTAAGGGCCTGTTGGTCTATCTCCGAGCCCGAGGGAGAGCTTTGCCTGGCAAAGACGACAGGATGGCTATTGAGAAAGACCGTACAGACAATGGACACTCCTTGGGAACAAATTATGTGGATGCCTTTGGGACGAATGTTTCCTTCACACTTGGCAAATGCAATCTCCGAGACCCCTCAGCTACTGCAAGGTGGCAGTATATCACCTGAACACCCACTCACTCTTTCCCTCTCACGCAAAGCATGGTATACGCTGTTCTAGAGGTTTGGAGATGCCAGAACATTTGAATCAATGCCCACATGACTCTGTCTTTCAGTTCAAATAAATCACCCTGCGTGGTATAGTATATACTCCAGAATTCATTTATTTGTGTTCCCCCCCCACCCCCACCTCAAGTTTAGCAAAAGAACATGATGATTTTTATTTAACTTGCAAAAACGTAGTTCCTCAGAGTTCAGAGACCTTTAGAGTTCTGATTTCGGCTTCAGTGCAGGTCAGGTTCCTGTTTGCTTTTGCATGCACTTAGCTGCCTGCTTCACGGCTGGCTCCCTGCCCAACTGTTGACATGCGTCGATCAAGTGACTCCTAGCCAGTCACCTCACTTCTGAAAGCCTCGGCCCATGTATGGTTCGATCAACACAAACCGCCTGAATGGTTTCCTCAATGATGTAAAAGTTCAATTGCATCAGAAGAATAAATGAGAATTAATTGGAAAAATCAGAAGGTAATAATAATTTCTCCTGGGACAACCTTGAAGTAGGGGCTCAGGTCATTGGCTATGTCTGATTGCAGTTTGTTCAGCAACTCAGTGAGATAGCTCAGAAACATGTGGTACTTTTGAATGGACAGGTCAATCAATCTTTTGGATTCAGTAAGAAATTCCTCATAGTAATCAGAGAGTTGGTCTGCAAAATTTTGTAGTTTCAATGGGAACTGCTGGTAGTAACCAGAAATGATTTCCTTCATTGCAGTCGCCCAGCGTTTAATTATATCCTGAGCAATAGTACAAAGCTCTGTAATCTTCTCCGTCCCCTTCCCATGTCCATCAGCAAGGATGATAAGATATTCCTGGACATTTTCAGACATAAATTGCTCATATTGACTTGAGAGTTCAGAAATAAAATAAGCAGAAGTGACGGTGTATGTGGAATGCAAGTCTTGGAGGATGATTATGAGGGTCGTGACTATGTTAGTGACTTTTTCTTCAAGTTCATAATATTTCACTGTCCAACCCACCATGCTTGGATCAAAATATTCTTCCCGCAGAGTCTTTATGTACTCATGGAGTTCCTTTAACTTCTGAGAAACTTCCTGAATTTTGTTTTGAGCAAGTTCCTTAAAGTTATAAAGGTGTTCTTTAAGGCATGTAAATATATAAGGAATCAACTTGTTGAAAGTCATGCTGATCATGTCTTGGATGGTACTAACAACATCAGACAATTTATTCCTCTTTAGTTTCAATACTTTCTTTTCCACCTCTTGGAGAATTTCTTGCTGTAATGCCTTAAGATCAGTTAGCAACTCTGTACTCGTCTTAGACTGAAGACGATTAAATTCTTTTTGAATCTCTTCTAATAAAGCATGTAACAGTTTCCCAGCCCCTACAAATTCATCAGTTAGTGAATAGGTGCCATAATGAAAAGGAAGTATAAACTCCAAGCGCTTAATCAATTCTGAGTTCTTCCCTAACTCATGGACATAGGCAATTAGTACATTTAATCCACTTTGGACTATTAAATTTCCTTGAAACAGTACCTTCCCTACTTCGCTTGTGACCATAGTGCAGAGTTCAGCTCCAGTATATGTCCTGGCTTTCCCTGGGAGCTGGAATCTAATGGCCCTCAAGAATTCAATGAGGGAGTCAATCAGATGTGTGATTGTTGTGTTGTAGGTTTGAATTACTTGTATTGAGCTGTCATACACTCTATCTGAAAGGTTCTGAAAGTAGTCCTGGTACAGATTCTGCGCCTCATCCTTCCACTGCTTGTAGGCCCTTGCCGTGCTGCCGGCTGCTCTCCTGAGCCCTATGTCTGCCTTATTGATTTGTCTCAGAGCTCCTAGGTAGGCCAGCTCAGCACCGTTCTCTATACTTCTTCTTAGCCGCGAGGACACGTCTCTCAGATCTACTCCTGTGTGCTCCCGGTGGTACACGTTGATATAGTCGTAAAGGGCTCCGGTGGCCTTGGGCACGTTGTCTTTGAGAGAACTTAGCAGTTGGGAAGTTGCTTCTTCTTCCCAGTTGACTTTTATTTGCATTTCATTATCAGATTCTTGGTACTTCCATTCAGTTGTGAGTATGTTGAACTTTTTGCCTGGAGAGGACTAAAATCAGCAAAAAAGACATTTATAAAGGTGTTTTCCATGACACCAAGCAGGTAACATACGGCACTAAAACTTTATCAGCCATTAAAAGTAAAAATCAGAGATTCATCAGATTCTGAAGATTTCTCTGTTCTTGTGTTTGTGTTATGGTTCAACAACCCCCTTGGTACTGCTCTATTTCACATGCTCCAGAAAGGAGTGTGGCATTTATACAGCGACACTCACCTTCCTAACGCTATCACACTAACCTACAGAGTGCAGCCTGCGGTATGGATTACAATTCCATGTAAAGATGGCCCAAATCCTCACACCTGGGTCAATAATAAGTAACATCATGGTCAATGGAGTGTAACCCTCTTGTTATCTTCCACTTAGTTTTGGAATGTCTTGAGACAGCACTGTGTACAGAGCTCAATTGACCCACTCTAACTCTATTTTCTCTTGGGGTGTGTAACCCATTAGCTGGGACTCACCTGAGGGAGGTAGTAAAACTCCAATTTAAAAGCATCCTCATCCTCTTCTTCCAAGTTTAAGACCACAGAGCCTATGGCTGAGGAGGCTATTGAGGAGAAGAGGCTCTTCTCATCTGATTGGTAGTGCAGATGAATATCCGTGAATTTGGGGCTGGTGATATCAAGGCGAGCCTCTCCTAACCAGTCTCTGAAACAAACAAGTGCACGAGCAGTCATGAAAATGGTACAGAGACGAACCACCTCACAACGAGTTCTAAAAGTATATGATCTTTCCACAAAAGTTCCTTACGCAAGGGTTTGGTATTTGCCATCTTCTTTATATTCTGCGCTGAGGTCACGGTGTGAAAATGTTCCTTGGGTCTTACAAACTAATGCTCCATCTTCAAACTTGTGTGTTCCCACAACTGTATAGGATAAATTTTATATTTCATTAACTGTACGACATAAGCGTTTTTATCATCACCATTGGGAGGATTCCATATTAAATAAGTGCCCTTGGAAATATATCCTATGCAGGCTCGACTTTTTAGTAAATAGGTAGAGACACACTATTTGGTTTTAAAATGATTTTTTTTAACAATTCACTCTGTATCTCCCTCTTGTGAATGAGGCTACATTTTCCACAATATTGCTTTGACACAGGAGTTATAGAAATAGCTCCTTCCCTGTTCTTTTAAATTTGCTCCAGAGAGCAATTGTGCCTCTAATCGTATTTAAATACAAAACGATTTACCTACAGTTCTCCCTGAGAAAATAAAGCATGCACGAGAGAAGGAAAACATTTGCTTACTGTTGAGATCGTATTCCAGGAACTGGAGGGTCGAGCTGCAGGTAGTATCCAGAAACGTTTCAAAGTGATCCGCTTTGTTTTTCCAGCCAGCACTCCACGTGGAATTATACAAGGGAGAGGTCACTGCAAAACGGGCACTCAGTGATCCCAAAGAAGGAATGAAAATTCCAGCAGGCACAGAAAACGTCATGGAAGGAACGGCAATCATTTGCTCAGGGACAGTGATGGTTGGCAAATCAAAGTCTGCAATCTTGTTGGCTATTTTATTAAGATCCAGAGTAGCACTGCCCACAGAAATACTCTTTGAGAGGGTAAACGGTGACACAATTAACTGAGACCCAGGCACAGTGACCTCAAAAAAGGGAACCGAGGATTCTTCTGGTTCGGAATATTTTGTCAACACATCTATTTGGGGGAATTTTACTTTGGGTAGTGTTGGTATGTTGAGGTCAAATGGTGACGTACTTAACTTCTTACTGATTTTTATTTCACTGAAGTCAAGTGTGTACGATGGAATATGAAGGTTCGTTAATGGGACTCGCCACGTTGGAGTGACAAGAATTGAGTTTGGATCGTTGAGTTTCAGTCCAGGGATAATGAACTCATCGGCCAGTTCTTTCACAGGGATAGAAAAATAATAGCCGTTGGGGTTTTTCGTGTACACCAGGGCGGTTGCAGCATGGAGGGACTGTCTCCTGCCACTGCTAGTGGTTACATCCAGTTTCAGCAGGTCCCATACGCTCTTGTCGTAAATTGGTAAGACGACTTCTTTGAGGAAAGACAGGTGTCCTTCTAAAGACCCTGCGATGTCAAGACGTGCCTCTTTTTGGCCATTGGAAAGCTGGAAGTTGCTCTGGAGAGAACCAGTGTGAACCTGGACCTCACTTTTCCAACTGACCTTCTGGTTCTCAGTGTCAGCATTCAGCACCCCTTCCTGGCCAAAGTAAGGAATGTCAAGGAGGGAATTGGGCTGGCTTGCCCGGACCTGCACCAGGGCTGCCATTTTCCATGGAGAGAGTTCCAGAGTGGCTTTGCTTGTGTGCTCTCCAGAGGTTACAAATGTGCCCTGTAGCTGTAAAAGGTTTTTCGTGCTGTGTTCCCAGATGGCATATATGCGGGAGAGAGTGGCTTCTCCTGCAAAATTTTCCTTCACTTCTAAATTCCAGATGCCATCAAGCCTGGAAGCCCCTCGCAGTATCACGGAAGATCGAGTGCCCTTGGAATTCAAATACGTATTCACCTCACTGGCGAGATTCCCTGAATATTCCCGTGAAAGGACTGAACCCTTGACGTTTCCTTTGGTAGATGATTCCATGGAAAGGTAGGAAGAGAGGCCTTCGAAGTTGAACTTGTGGTCCACCGCTCCTTTGGCCGCAGAGTATAGCCTGGGGCAATTGAAATCATACTTTAACTCAATGGCTGCAGAGAGAGTAGGCTTTGCCTTGGTGTTTCCATTCAGTTCTTGCTTAAAATTCATTCTCAAAATTGGAAACTGGACGTTTGCACTTGTGGCCATCGAGGCTTCCATGTTTTTCCTGGTTAGGCTCATGGTACTGTCGTGGCTGCCTTCCACAAACTTGTTACTTAGGGACCAAGCGGTGGCCAACTTCAGCCCTCTTTTCCTCGTCAGACTTGAGGTGCCCTCTAATTTGTACTGGAGCGCAGTAATAAAGGAGGAAGAGGAGGAAAGCAAATGAGCAACGATATCCGACTGATTATAAAGGCCGACGTTGGTATTCAATGTGATGACACTTGATTTAAAGGAAAACTCATAGGTCATATTGCCCAGGGCTGGAACGAAAATGTTGTTTGAGGTTTGGGGCAGCTGGAAATCTGGAAGGGAAAGTTTCCTGAGACTCCAAGGGATATTGTAGCTTTCGGATTGAAGATAGACTGCACTGTCTCTGACTTTCTCCAAGTACTTGTTGAAGGATTTGATGTGCTGATTGATAAAATCATAAAACACATCCAAAGGCACTGGGATGGAATGCCTGCCTTTGTTCTTCTTATACTGAGCCTTGACACTTAAATCGAAGGATTGCTTTGTCGTTTTCAAGAAGTCCTTCAAGCCCGTTCTTTCCCATAAGGAGAAATCTTTCACCTGGGGAGTTGTTAATGTCATGTAAGGTAGAGTCATTTCAGGAATTGTTAAAGGAATGTTTAAGAAATCCAGGTTGGCTTCTCCATTCATTCCTACATGGGCTTCCATGCTGTTCTCATTGTTCCCAGCAGAAAAGTTTTGATGGTATTTGTACTGATTGAACCTGGCACTGGCTTGCCAACTTGCTTGCTGGACACTAGGATTCAGAAGCAGTGCGTAATTATTCAGGAAGTCTATCTTCCCTGTCAACTTGAACGGAAAACTAACTTTCAGATTTCCTTCATTGTTCGTGGATGCCATTATCTCAAATGGCTGTGCTGAGAAGACAAGAGAATTTTTCAGAGTTCCAATAACTTTGCCATTTAAGGAAGCATCATGGGTGCCCGTTATCTCAGCCTTCATCTCTCCCAGCAGTGCTGCACCCTTGGCTGTTAGAATGCTACGACCTACGTGCTGCGAGTCAACTTGTGACTCGATTTCAAATTTCAGATAGTTGAGAAAGCCAGATTCACCAAGCAACTTTTGGTTCACTCTCAGGTGTTTACTGTTGATCTTGTTGGACAAACCAAAGGAAGCGGTGGGCCCTTCCACGGTGAAGTTAATTTGTGATTCATGTGTTCCCTCATCGGAGAATTTGGGGCAGGCCCATTTCCATGACCCTGTACCAGAAGAAGTCCACCCTATGCGGCCAGCTTCCCACAGGGTCTTCATTCCATTGCGCAGGTCAGCCTGACTGGAAAAGTCCAATTGGGGGATGCTTAATTTGTGGGTGTATTTCGTGTTGCTTTCCAGGGCAAACTGCTGGTTTATATTGAGAAGCATACTGTTGCTAAGCTCCATTGTATTTTTTTCTGTGTGTAAACTTGCCAACGTGTCCGATTTTCCCTCAATTGCGTTTCCAGAAAATACCACTTGACTCGAATGCTCTGTTTTCAGGTACTTGTTGGAGAGCTTCATAGATTCCTTCACAATGATCGAATTGAGCTCAGAGTCCGACAGTTGTGCATTTGCTTGAAAATCAAAATTGAGAACTTCTAATTTGGATTCTCCTTTGGCAGTGAAAGTAGCCACCATCTCCGCCTTGTTCACTGACGTGGTTATATTCTGAATGGCAGCATTTGCATCGAGTGTGAAAAGAGAAGACTGGATTTTCAGAATGCCATACAGCTTGCCAAAAGTGGGGATTTGGATTGTGTGTGAGATGTGGGGAAGCTGGAATTCTGGTATGTGGAGGTTGGGAACTTCAAAATCTTTAACGTTGATCTTGGGGATTATGATTTCAGGAATCGTGAATTGTGGTAAATAGAAGTCTGGCAGAGTTATTCCAGCAAGAAGAGTGTCATTCACCTTCAGATCCCTTAGGTAAATTTCTGGAACAGGCCATTGAAGCTCACTGCTCAGCATCTGGTCAATGGTTCGGATGAGTTTTGCTTTAATTTCTATCAAGTCAATTGTAAAAGACGGTACATGAAAGGTATTGAGAACAGTGAATTCTGGTGTGGTAAACTTGGATGGGACTTTGATATCTTTCAATGTTTTGAAGTTTATCTCAACTGATGGAATTCTCAAATCGGTCATGGGGACTATGAAGTCAGGAGTCTGAAATGTGGCTCCTTTAAGAGCTCGAAGACTGACTTCAAAGGAAGGCATGGCCCAGAACACGGTCCGTATTTCAGGAACTGTGAACCCCTGTTCTACAAGTCCTTTTATGCTCTCAGCCCAGTCTTGGATGGAATACTGCTCTGCGAAGTCAGTAAGGGCCTTCTCAGCAAGGATCCACCAATCAGAGACGTACATGACCAGCGTTTTGTAGGCCTGGCTTATCAGAGACAGGTAGCGTTGCAGTTCCTGCTGAATGTCCATTTGATACACTCGGTCTCGTGTATCTTCCAGGGTCTCTTGGAATCTGGCTTTCATGTAACGTAAAGAGGTGGAACTGAAAGCCTCTTGCAGCCAATCGAGGAATACGGTTATTTTTGTGTCCTTGAGGGCTGCCCAGTAGACTGACATCACCGCTTTGACTTCCTCCACAAATACTTTTAAGGCTTCCACTTTCTGTGGTAGATCCACAGCCAGGATTTCACTGTTGATTCTCTGAGTCATCTCACGGATTTTGTTATTGGTTTCATCCACAAACTGGTTGTAATCAAATGACCTTAATTTCTCTACCAACACGTCAAGGAATCTGTTAACTTCTCCCATAAAATTTTCAAAATGTAATGCTTTAAGCTTTTTGACAACGTCATCGATACACCCAACCAACTTCTCAAAGTACGCTTTGATCTCAACTCGTTTTAAGGCACTGCTTAGTCTCTGAAGGGTCTCTTTTAACTTATATTGATGAGCCAACTGGACTGACTTATCCATTAAAACCTGGATTTGTTGGTCAACCTCATACTTCTTAATTAAGTCATGGACTTGAGCTCTGAAAGCATTGATGACTTCCGTTACCTCCAAATCCTCAATAAGGTTTACAACAAAGTGTCTGACATGTTCAATAATGTCCTTTAGACTCTGAATTGGAATTGCAGTTCTCAAGTGATCTAAAAGCACTCTGATATCAATAGTCTCAACCTGGTGTTTTAGCTTCTCTGCAAGGTGTTGAATGTCTATATTCTGAATCTGTGTCCTGAGCTGTTGTAATTTTTCTTGTAGTTGGATTCTGATTTGATATTTAGTGTCCATATTTTGAATCCAAGCTTCAGTGCTACTTCCCATTTTGTTAAAATCAATCTTTTCAACAAGTACGTGTAGATCATGGATGGTTTTTATTAAGTTCACACGGATACGATAATTTTCATCAAGAACTTTTAATCTTTCAATGATTAGGTCAATAATCTTAGCAATGGCTAATTTTAAATCATGTAGGTCATAATTATCTTTAATATACTGATCAAATTGTATCACATAGGTCTGTAGTTGAGACAGTTTTTCATTCAAGTTGATTTTGGCATTATCCAATGCAATTTGTAGATCATTTGCTGTGATTCTATAATCTTTTGTGAAAGCAGTTAATTTCTCCTTAGCATTAGTAACTTGTGCCTCCCAATTAAATGCCTTCAGATAGTCATTGACTTGTTGTGGGACTTGGTCCAGGGATGCTTTGTATTTCCTAGAAATTTGATTAATATTGATGTGCTTCAAATGCCTCTGTATCCTTTCCAGTGCAGTTATAATTGCTATTCGGTTTTTCTCAAAATACTCCGGCAGAATTTGCAAGAATGGGAGGTCGATGGTGTGAACATCTTGGTTCTTATCATACTTCACAGAAGCAACAATAGTAAATTCTTGGGGTTGGTCAGCAACGTCTCTCATCTCTAAGGCATCAAATACATTGACGGGCTCAGTGAGTATAAAGGGCACGTTAATTGGCCAGTCCAGCACAGTGAGGTCAGCCAAGGCTCGTCCACTGAGCTCCACACCTACTTTGTCTTTTGTGTTGTAAGCATCGAAGTCCTGGCTGTATTCGTGTTTGTTTAATTGGGTCTTCAGTTTCCAGGTACCCATCTGCTCAGCTGGAGTCAGCAGAGCATTGACTTGGTGCTCAAGAGCTGTCTCGATGCTTCTCTTTGTCATAAGATGGTGACTCGTGGATCCTTTGTAATCATGGGAGAAGGTCAGGGCCAGAGGTTTGGCTTTCCATAACAATTTGCTGTATAGCTGTCCAGTGTGTTCCCCCCAGAGAGCCAGTTTCCCGTTGGCATTTGTATGAGCATCAATAGTCATCGTAAAAGGTTCCATTGTAGAGTGGAAAACATTACTGAAATGCAACGAGTCTGAGTTATAGTTTGTACTGATATCAATGGCTGAAGCCAGGCCAGCAATGTCTGTGCTGAGCCGATGGCTAAATTCCGCATCTCGAACTTTAGCTACCGTGTCTGCTTTATAAGTTGCGGATAAATCAGCATAAGACATGGCATAGATATGTTTTATCTCATTGTTTTCATAGGCCCCTTTGATGGTCCCACCCATATTCAGCTTCAGGGGTTCCAGCTGTAATTTCCCATTGTTGGTCAGCTGCAGAGCGTTGACTTTCAGGTCGTTGTTTAAGGTCGTTACCAGAGCATAGGGCTGAAGCTTTAAATGAAAGTTTTGCTTATAAAATTTGTCCGAGCTATACACATTGTCAAGTTTGGAAGCGAAGTCCAGGGACAAATCTGCCATGGTCAGACTATTTGTATAGTCAAGTTTCATTTCAGCATACGACCCCATCATGTCACTGGAAAGCTTAAGTCCTTCTTGGTTGATTTTGAAGTTGAAAATGTTTTTGCTGTCAACACCCAGAATCATTGCCTGATAAGCACTGCCCAAGGATATCTCTGTGAGGCCAGCTTTTCCGTCTAGAATGAGTTTTGCATGGTGCTCCCTAAAGCGGCCGTTTGCTGTTAATTTCAAGGTAGCTCCAGAGAAACCAACCCCCGCGTTCAGCTCATTCTCTAGAACCAAGGGGCTGTACTTCAAGTTGGTAGTTGCACTGGTAGACAGCCCACCCCGGTCAACCCTGAGTGTGGCCTTGTGAGCACCGCTGTTAAGTGTGTCACTGCCCAAGACGTCAGCATTTAATTCAAGGCCATGGGAATCGAGCGATCCAGAAAGCACGGAGTAGAACCTCAGTGCGTTGTAATTCGCCTGATACTCAGACCGGAACAGGGCATTTTGTCTAGAGACGGTCACGTCCACTTTGCTGGAAGTGGCAAAGTCCCTGTACCTCCCATTGGTGTCAGATTTCACAGTCAGCTCATAGTTCTCATACTTCAGGGAAACTGTGTTCTTCAGCAGGCCATCTTGCAGATCGGAGTTGGAGGTAAAGGTGAGTGCTCCATCTTCGTATCTTCCCGTCATCTGGCTGGTGCCCTGGATGTAGGAGGAGTTAAATCTCAGGTTGGACTCTCCATGCAGCTCCCCTGTGTTCAGATCTCTCTGATAAGCCAGGCCCCAAATGCCTTTTGTATAGAAGGAGGAGACTCTGAACTGCCCCTCGACCTTCACTTCTTTGACATTCAAATGCTGCTTCTTTTTTGTATCCAAGTGAACTGAAGCAGACAGCTGTGGTCCCCAGGCACTAGTTGCATCGAAGGTTAGTAGACCTTTGGAGGCTGGATTCTTTCCACTTTTTTCTACATGATTGAATTTAATATTTGAATCCAGAAATTTATGGCGTAGAGATCCATCACATGATAAAGTGAATGTATTCCTGTGGTCATACGTTGTTTCTCCTGATCCTAACAAGGAAAAAAAAAAAGACAGGTTAAATTAAATAATGCATTTCCAGAATAATCACTGTGCTGAAAGTCTCTGAGTAACGAAGTCCCATTTATCTAGTAGTAGTCTGTTCCATCTACAGAACAAATAAAATGTGATACTGCAAGGCCTTCCTCCAAACACCTTCTGTGACCCCAACAAACCATGTTGTGTTCCTTTAGCAAGAGCCTCCGTTGTGCCTTATCCATAGACGTCACACCCCTGTCATAGCTCCTCGCATGCTCAGACACTGGTGCTGATTTATCGGTCTGCTTTCTCTGCCACTGGTTAGTAGATGCATGGTGGAGAATAGTTGATGAGGATAAAGTACCCAAGCCCCCAAACCAAGTTCACTGCCACTGAGTCATTCCCACACCTCCAAATGCCCTGCATCAGAGGATTTCTATTTCCACATGTTCTACAAATTGGAGCTTCTATTAGCTTTTCATTTCACAAACTAATTCTACTACTTCCATGGTTGTGAAAGCATCGATTCAATCCAAATCTATCATTGCAAACATAGAGAAACTAAGATCCAAAGAGAAAAGGTCACTTGGCCCACGCCCTCCGAGCCAAGTTCAGAAAGTGGAACGTCACCCAGCTCCTGGATTTGTGTTTTTGAGCTAGAGCCCTAACTGGAGCTGAGTCCTAGGAACATAGAAACTGGGAAACAGCATCTCGTCTCTTTTGTTTTGCTGAAGATTTGGAGGAAAATAAAATAAAACACATTCCTTTGATCCCTTTTCTTGGAAGGCTTTACCTTGAACTGCTGTGTGATTTGGGGAAATCATCTAATTTCCATTTCATAATCTATCTACAGAGGATGCTCTGTGTTCTACACACACCCCTGCCCCTACTCTGAGAGCAGATGTTGGCTTTTATTCCCAAGCCCAAAGTGCCAAACATGGAGCTCTCACAGAAAGGCATAGATGGATAGACAGAGAGATAGACAGACAGACAGATAGACCAACAGACAGAAAGATATATAGATAGACAGACAGATAGACAGACAGAGATAGACACACAGACAGATAGATAGATAGATAGATAGATAGATAGATAGATAGACAGACAGACAGTCAGATAGACAGATAGATAGACAGACAGACAGATAGAGCTTTTTATGTTCCTTAACAATGTCACTTTCCACCAAAACAAAGAGCTAAAAATAAGCATTTCCTATTTTGTACTTTGCTGAAATTTCACATTTTAAATCGTGCACAGGCTTGTTGGTAGAGAATTTACATTCCTATATTCATGTGGAACCAGAGCAACCATGCTTTACAAAGCAGTAGTTCAGGGGAGGAAATCCGGCAAATCTGTGACCCCAGGAAGAAATGGCCTAGCAAGTTATTTAGAACCATCTAGATAAAGGAATGGGTCCATTTCCATGGGTGAGATGAACACTATGAATGTAGAACAATGAGTTGATGTCAGTGTTATGTGACTCTTCTGTGTCACTCAGACTCTCCTAAGCTCTAAATATTTCCGGGAGTTCTATGGGGAAGGTGGTAAACATTGCTCCTTTCTGTAAGAAAAGAGGAGTAGGAATATAGAATAACGGGAAGTGGAGAGCTGTGGGTGTCTCTGAAAATACCTGGCTAGTTGATACTAATTAATCCAGGTGCTCACAATGAACATTTACAGTGTGCCCTGCATGAAACAAAGGCAAGAGTGGGGCAGAGCGAAGGACAGGAAGCTCCCGTCTGTGCTACAGCTCCGGGCGTTGCTGGGCATGGCTCACCTTGCACGCTGTAGGAGAACAGGTCGACTGCGGACATGGCTCTCATGAGGTACTGAGCCTTCAGGCCGAAGTGATCTGTGCTGGTGTTGCCTCCCGTGAAGGAGGCAGACCAGTTGTAGGCATTGCTGTAGACATTTGTGGACAGGTCCAGAACACCCAAGAGGGGGACCCGTAGTAGATACACCTTGGGAATGACAAAAGTGGGGATTCGGAACTCTTGAGATGGCAGCTGGAACCCCACGGACTTGAAGTGGAGGGCTGGAGTCCGGACAGTTTCTAAGATATTTAGATCTTGGGAGGATCGGCCACCAAAAGGCACAGGAATCTCAAATTGCACACTATTCTTGTTCAAGGTGTATTTGAACCGGCCATCACTGAAATGAACAACAAAGACAATGTTCTCTTGATCAGACACGAAGGTCTCAGAGTTCTGTTCTCCAAGCCACATTGAACATGCCCCATTCTGAAGCTCATAATACTTAAATACTTAAATGATATACTTTCAAACTCACAGCCATTGAGTTGATTCTGACTCAGAGACCTTATGGGGTGGGGTAGAATCATCCCTCTGGGTTTCTGAGACTGTAAACTCTTTACTGGAGCAAAAACGCCTCATCTTTCTCCCATGGAGCAGCTGGTAGTTTTCAACTGGAGCACAACACATAACTCACTATGCCACCAGGGCTCCTTAAGGTATACTAATAAACTGAATTGTGCTCTTAAAATGTTGCCTTCATTCAGTGTTTAACTGATGCTGTCCCGACACCGCATGGCTCTGTAGTCAGTCTGTAGTCAATAATTCTTCTAGCCACTCTTTAATAATTCTTCAAGTTCAATGGCTACAAAGAAAACCCAATTCTGAATGAAGAGGGATTTTGCTTATGATAAGACAAAAATGGAATGCGTTTAAAATTCAGGTTTGAAGTGATAATTAGGGTGCAACTAACAAAATGCCTAAGGGTCTTCTTGATTCCTTGGCATTTACCTTCTGATATCATGTCCTTTATCTACAGTAATTCATCTCCTTAACATGTTCAGAGAGTTTCCCTTAAAAATATAAATGAACAAAAAACAAACAAATGCCCAAATAAAATTCTATTTATGTTGCGTGGCTCAAAAAATATTTCTGGTTTCTTCTTTTACCTTTTCAAGAACAGGTTTTCTGGGAGGTGGAAGTCTGGCAATCCCATTTTCTGTAGGTTCATTTCCTCGAGGCCACTGAGGTGATCTTGCAAAATCTGGGTGTAAGGAAGGTTCCTGGATGTCTTCTGAAGCCAGGTGTTTGTTGCCTATAATGTGGGAATTTTGATTTTAGAATAACAGACACAGATGAGATTGCCTTAGCGAAGGGGGCCCTGGTGGTGCAGTGGGTAATGCGCTGAGCTACTAAACTCAGTGCCCGCAGTTCAAACCTACCAGCTACCCTGAGGGAGAAAGATGAGGCTTTCTGCAATACTTGCCGTGCTTGCAACATGAAAGCCTCTTTAGTTCCACAAACGGACAGGTGGGTGGGGGAAAGCACAGTGACGGTAGACCAGTTACACTGGAAGTTAAAATGAATCAGAGAAAATGATGAATGATGGAATAGCTTACTGAGACTCGTAGACAGTAGCCTAAAGTTTCCTGTCATACTCTAGACATGACACCCTTCTCTTAATAGTACTACTAATTTGGCATTTATCACATACAGCTTTATTTACCAGGCAATTATCCACATATGAATATTTCTCTTTTCTCCAGGAATTCTTTAAAAAAATCATATTATTGAGGGCTCATATAACTCTAATCACAATCCATAGATACACCAATTGTGTAAAGCACATTTGCACATTCGTTGCCCTCGTCATTCTCAAGACATTTGCTCTCCACTTAAGCCCTTGGCATCAGCTCCTCATTTTCCCTAACCCTCCCTGTTCCCTCCTCCCTCATGAACTCTTGATAATTTATAAATTGTTATTTTGTCATCTGTTACACTGTCCGACGTCTCCCTTCACCCACTTTTCTGTTGTCCATCCCCGAGTCCCCAGAAATTCTTTAGGGGCAGAAAGCATGCCTTATGTATCTTTGTATGGGCTTCTGCACCGAACTCGGGGTTGGGTGTGTAATTAGTACTTTTGACCCATGCATTTATTGACAGGCTAATTCATACTTACAACTATTAATTTGGAACCCATATGGCGGAAAGTCATGTCTGTTTGAGGGACTCTGTGATCCAAAAGGCTGTTGGCATACATCAGCAAGCTCTGAGGGATATCAGAGAGATCCACAGGGAAATTAGAAGCCACTTTTCTGGTGTCCACATTGGTGCCAGCATTCCATTCAAATTCCATTTTCTCTTCATCTGAAAATGCACATCGGAAACACCTGTCAATGGAGCTAGATCAGCCTTTGACAAGTGCTTTTCAGGCCTGTACATCGTGGCCCTGGAAGCTCTTATCTGGGAGAAAGGGCACATACCATAGCGCCATGCCACCTTCTTGGAAACCCTGGAGCCAAAAGCTGTAGCAGAGGAGTCTACTTGCAACAGTAGTTTCGTGGGGGACCAGTGGGTCAGGATCTCGCTTCTGGCTTCTGCTTGCAAACGAGGTATGGAAATTACACCTTTGATTTTGCCTTTTTCCTTCATGTCGCAACTGTGGAAAAGAAAGTCAGTTGACATCAATGAATTTTCGCATTCTAAGGACAATTCAGGATTAAACAGAAGTTCCAGGATCAACATATAACCCCCTCCCCCACCCTAGGATGGAGTGGGGTGGACGAACAACAGAAAAGTGGGTGAAGGGCAACAGAGGATGATGTAAGATATGAAAATAATAATCTATAACTTATCCAGGGTTCATGAGAGGGGGCGGGGGGAGGAGGAAACATGAGGAGCTGATATCAAGAGCCCAAGTAGAAAGAATATGCTTTGAAAATGATGATGGCAGCATGTGTACAAATGTGCTTGACACAATGGACGATTGTGTGGATTGTGATAAGAGATGTAAGAGCCCCTAATAAATGTATTTAATTAAATTCAAAAAATTAAAAAATTAAACAACCCCTCCAGAAGTTCCATTTATGGTAATAAAAACCAGATCCATGAATGGCAAGAGAAATGATCCTAATTCACATCATTAACTTCAAAAGACAACCTTCAGCACACATTCAGGACTTCCCAGGGTGGAGAATGTTTGAAAGCTGTACGAATCCTGATCTATGACTTACTAGCTCTATTGCCTTAGTGAGAGGGGCCCTGGTGGTGCAGTGGGTAATGTGCTGAGCTACTGAACTCAGTGCCCGCAGCTCAAACCTACCAGCTACTCTGAGGGAGAAAGATGAGGCTTTATGCTCCTGTAGGAGTTGCCTGAACTGCAGTGGGCTTGGTGTTAGGGGGGTATTGCCCTGATCAGGAGGTAGTGATATTTCAGCGGTAAAATTCTCCTCTTTCCTGAGGGGACTCGAGCTCAATTCCCAGCCAACATACTTTAGGCTCAGTGACTATCAATGCCTGTCAATGGCGACTTTCCTGTTGCTGTGGTGTTCAATGGATGTCCGCAAAGGTGCCAGACTAAGACTGACTCGGAAGAAAGGTCTGGGAACCTACTTCCACAAATAAGACCATGAAAGCCCTGCGGATCAAAAGATCTGATCCCCAACTGATCACGGGGATGACGCTAGATGCGGTGCTGTTTCAGTCCCAGGTGAATGGGGTCATCGTGAGCTTGGGGCTGACTTGACACCTGCGAACAACATTGCCTTGACCAAGTTGTTTCATCCTCCTGAGCTGCCATCTTCTCATCTATCAAACAGAGGCTGCTTGTAATTGCTTTGTATTTTATTGTAAATAAACATTTATATTTATTTTAAATAATATTGCAGATATCCTTTCTTTTTGTTTTAAACAGCATTCATTTATTATCTATTCTGTACTCTAATCAATCTCAATAAATACAAAAATTTGCAATGTCAAGTAAATGGTGATCAGTAAAAGATGGACATAGCTTTCCATTGGGAATTTTAGAGTATAATAAATCGATACTAAAATGGCTAATTTTGCTTATTTTATGTTTGTATTTAATATTTTTGGTATAAGCATATTTTCAAGTCCAATCCAAGGAAGTCAACTATATATTAACAGAATAAATATGTAGATGTGAGATGATTTCTTTAAAGCATCCAGCACCGTTCCTGGGGAGTCATAAGTGCTCAACCAATGGTAGACAGGTTCAATCGGTTATGTGTGAAGGGCCAAAATGTTGAGAGCTCTCTGTCACTCGGATTGCAGACTTAGAGACAAGCCGCAGGCTGGCTTTAGAGTGGAAGAGGAAGAAGCAGAACAGACAGGGCATATCACCTTAAATCTTCCTTACCTCATATGGCCAGTGAGAGTGACTTCAGTGATCTTATTATTCTGAATGTCCAAGGTGAGCTTGTAAGCTTTTTTATCCTGAGCAGATTCATCACTGACTCTGAGGATTGTCCCCAGGTCAACATCAAAATCCGGAATTTGGATTTCACTGGACAAAGTCCTCCTCTGCCGATTATATTTAAACATCATAGTGGCCTCGGTTTGCTTCACACCTGGAAGGGTTTCCAAGAGCATTAAGAAATGCGTTTTAATACAACTTTCCTCTAGCTCTTTGGTTCTTCCTCCACCCCACTATCATGACCTCAGTTCTACCTTACAAATAGGATTAGACCAGAGCATGCACACTGCTACAGATAAAAGCCCACAACACAGAGAATCCAGGATAGATAAACCCCTCAGGGCCAACGAGGAGAGTAGAGATACCAGGAGGATTAGGGGAGGGTGGGGGGAGAAATGGGGAACCCATCACAAAGATCAATATAGAACCCCCTCCCAGGGAGACGAATAACGGAAAAGTGGGTGAGGTGCGACAGAGGATGATGTAAGATATGGAAAACATAGTCTTTTACTTCAGGAGGGAGGGTGGGTGGGAAGAGGGAGGGGAAAGAAATGGGGAACGGATATCAGGGGCTCAAGTGGGAAGAGAATGTTTTGAAAATGATGATGGCAACGTATGTGCATATGTGCTTGACACACTGGAGGAATGTATGGATTGTAATAAGAGATGTAAGAGCCCGCAGTAAAAGTATTTAAAAAAAAAAAGAAAAAAGAAAGAAATGTATTCTAAGAAGCCAAGTTTGGAAGGAAGGACCGGAAAAAGCAGGAAAACACAAGTAGCTAATTCATTTAAATGAGGGCACATTTCATGGTTGTACCATACACCTTTAACTCGCTGTTCATATGTTCACCCAATTTACAAATATATACTTAGTGCCTATTATGTGTTAAGCACTACTCTTGCACTCAGGATCCCTAGCCCTCATAGAGCTTACATTCTATTGGAGGAGGGTGTACCGAGAGTAAGCTACAATATTATGTAGGCCGGATCATGATAAAGGTTATGAAGAAAACTGGGCGGTACATAGGGTCACTAAGCATCAGAACTGACTTGACGGCATGTAGCAACAACACCAATAGGAAGATAGAAGCTAGAAAGTGAAGATGGAAGAGGTGCAATTTTCCGTGTGGTGGTCAGAGAAGTTCTCGCTGATGAGGCCAATGAAGTGAATGAATGAAGAGACAGGCTACAAAGATGTCTAGGGCGGGGCCTAACAAAACCCAAACAACCAAACTCACTGCCACTGAGTCAATACTGATTCACAGTGACCCTCTGCAGGCTTCTGAGACATAACTGTTTAAGGGAGTAGAAAGCCCAGTCTTTCTCCCTCAGAGCTGTTGGTGGTTTTGAACTGCTAACCATATGGATTGCAATCTAATGCTAAACCACTACACACCAGGGCTCCCTCAGGGCCATGTAGTGGAAGTGGGAAACCATGGCTCTGATGTGGTTGGAGGGAACACTCCTTGTGTGCAGGACACAGTAAGACACAGTCTCTCTCTCTCTCTCTCTCTCTACTACGATCATCCAAGTGGTCTCTTCAAATCATCAATTCACTATAAAAACACTCCCAGGCTTTTTTCAGTTCCTAGGTTCATACATTTATGTAAAAAAATATTGACTTTTTTTTTTTAAAGGATGCACCTCCTCTTTTTCCAAAGGGCTGCACCCGAGTTTGGCCATTCCCCAAACATGGCAACTCTATTTTTCAGTTGCTTCGGCCACAGAACTGGGACTCATTCTGATTTCTCTTTCTCTCGTACATTCAACCCTTAACATCTCAGTAAATTTCATCTACCAAATCTTCAAAATACTGCCAGAATTTGACCTAACAGTTTCTCTGCCAAGTCTCTGATTCAAATCTACACTTCTTGCTTGGATTATTACAATAGGCTACATATTAATTCTCTACGCTTCTCTCCCTGTAGTCTTATCTCGACAGAAACATAAATCAAATCATGAAATTCTCCAATGGCATCTTATTTCATTCACAATAAAAGCCAAAATTTTTACCATGTCCTATGAGAAGACCATTTTCTCATGTTTCCCCCTTTTTCTATGACTTTATCTTTGGCTACTTTTCACTTTTCTGTTTCAACCATACTGGTCTCCTTCCATCTCTTCAAAGATGGAAGCCAGACATTGGTCTCCAGGACTTTGCATGGCCGTTTGACCTGGAACGTTCCTTTCCACACGCACGATTCCCTTACATGTCTCAATTCCCATTTTTATGTCCACTTGATCAGTTAGCTTTTAAACTATTTTCCTATATGCCCCCGCCTTCTCTACACCCTCGGTCAGCCCCTGACATTCCGTAGACTCCTCTCTACCACATTCTTCTTCCTGGCATGGATATGACATCCTGAATATTTATTTGTCTGTGCATTTCCTGCAAGCTCCCGAGTTCAAAGGTCTTATCTCTGATCTTCACTGTTCTAACCCCAACTCTTAAAACAAAAACTTATGAGACAGTCAATAAGCACTTTCATGGTCTACATGTGACTCCTGAACCGGCCGAGGGAAGCCCTGGAGCGGCCCTTTGCAGATACAGACCTTCTGCTTGCGTTACAAACTTCAGGGTGTCCACCAAGGCTTGACCTTCTCTCTTGAGCTCATAGGTTGCACTGGAAGAATACTGCTCTACCTCTCCCGTTGGCCTCAGTTCCAATTCAAATCTGAAAGTGTTGCGAGACAGTTGAAATGTTAGGGGTCTTCGATGAGGAGTCTAATGTTCCTCAAACCACTCATCCTCAGTTACGACCCCAAAGGACTCTTGATTATAACATGCACTCTGGCACTTCTTAATTAATGATGATCTCTACAGTTTCTTTCCCCTTTTCCAAGAGCATCCAGTAAGGTCAGATCAACAGAGCAGGAAATGGCTGGCTATGCCTGAAAGGCGGAGCCTAAGCAGTGGACGTGTGCTTGGGGGAATTGTCAGGAATCAATCTGTAGTATGAGCTCTAGGGAAGAATCATCTGCAGTATGAGCTCTAGGGAAGGCCAAAAGGTGAGAAACACTGAAACATTGCATTAGGAGCAAACTAGAATCTGTGATGTGATCTCCTAACCTTTAGGGTGAAGACAGAGAGGCATCATCTAGAAGGAGGTGCTTTTAAAGGAGTGATTCCCAATGGCAAGGGGAAGGGTTCTCTCTGGAGAGTCTAATCGAATCACCTTGGGATATGTTTGAGGATCCAGACCTCACTGGGGGTCATGACTCCCACCTTCCAACCGTATACCCTCTTTCTCCTACCCCATCTATGGAGAGATCTAGTTTTTGTATCAGCATGAATACACTTTATTTGGGTTGGAGCAGAGGACCACTGGTCTATACAATCAAAGGATGATGCAAATGCCTATGGAGAGGGGCTTACCACACACATCACATTCTCCTTTGCCTCCCAAGGGGATCATAATGTTCCAGTGGATAAGTGGTGGGCTGCACATAAGCACGTAGTACCTGGTGTCCCCGGTCAGTGGGTAGTAGGAGGAGTCGTCTGTGGAGCTGGCATTAGAGTAAGCACCAGTGGTGCAGTAGTTCAGGCCGGTGAAGAAAGGCTTGCATGTTGTCCAGGACTGCCTGTCCACAGCCAGAGGTAGAACTGCTTCCGTTTTGGTGGTAGAGGTCAAATGCAACGTGTTACTGGCAAAGAAAGACAAAAACCTTAGTTGTCTTCAAGCCATGTCTCTGAATTGCTAGCTTTGATTCTCCTGGTAGAAATATCCCTGTCTCAACCCATCTTTCTCCCTTCTGCTCACACCTGCCTTGGATGATTTGATTTATTGAGAAACAAATAATAATATCAAGAACCCAGAGTCATATCTACTGAGGGACAATGGCCAGCCCTGAAATGGTGCCCCTGTCCAAAGACCTGACACCGATTTATAAGACAACTTTACCATAATATTAGCTCCAGAATACGTGTCAAACTCTTTAATCTTTTACTTCATGCTTTATAACAGTACTTGAAAATGACAACTGCACTTTCCTTGTCTTCACTGATGAAAATTGGTTTGTGATGTGCTCAGTCACTTTTTTGTTTCTTCTCTATCTACCCTCAGCCAGACAAGATCACTCAGTTTGCCTTGCCCCATGAGGTCTCCCAAATACACAAGTCTTAGAATGATCTCTCACAGCCGGTGATGGAAACTCGGAGGGGTAACAGAAATTGCTCAGTGACACTGCCTGCAAGTGGCACCCAGGGCATGTGCCATAGATACTACACATTAAATACACCCCGGAAAGAATCTCAAACTGACAAACAAACTAACTGTTGTCATCAGTCTTATGTTTCAAACCCTGCACTACATTCTTCTTGTTCATGATCAGCAAGCCCTACAACAAATCTGAAAAGTAGGGATTAAGATTCCTA